ACACGCTTGGTGTACTTTTTTGATATCTATTTCGATAGCTATTTAGCTTTCTATTACTAAGGAGTACACCCCCTAAGGGTGTACGACGCAGTTGCGGAGTGAAGCAGAGCATAGTTATTATATTTGATTTCTATTTAGTTTTTTGTACTGGAGGAGCATAGCGACTCTGAATGCGAAGCATAGCGTAGCATTAGTTATCTATTTAATTCACAATTAGTTTCTTAACACTAAGGAGTATATACTTTAGGTGTGAGTGATGCAGTTGCGGAGCGAAGCAGAGTATAGTAATCTTTTATTTAAACAAAAGATCTGGTATATTAATAGAAAACACTGAAAAAACATATTACTATGGCTAAGATACTTAAATGTCCAGGTTGTGATCGAGTAATAAAAACTGGTAAAACTCGAGATCTTAATAAACACATGAATTTAAATAGAAACCTTCGTAAAGGACAATGCCAACCAGCTTTGCTTATAATGCAAAATGTAGGAAATGTTACTCCAAAGCAAAATACACCTCAAACTAAAAACGTTACTTCAGAGCAAAATCCGCCAGCAACTCCTGAAGGTGATCTCATATCGTTCGATGAAAACTCACCAACACTTCAGCCGAGAGAGGCAAGTACGCCAGCAGTCGACCCTTTAACTGATGATGTTCCAAATACAGAAGCAGGATCAAGTTCTAATACTCAAGAAGAACAAAAAAAGAAATCAATTTTAACGATAAATGAATTAATAAAATGGTTATCAAAGCCGGAAATAAAAAACAATAAAAAAATTAGATCAAAGCATATACCTAAAAATGATAAAGAATGGTATGATTTAATGGAAATAGATAACGAAAAAGATAGCGAACCAAGTGACTCAGAATATGATACTGCTAAAGAAGAACCAGACATTCATTTCGAAAAAATCAAGGATCCATACATTAATAGAATAGCAGAAGCCAGAAAATTTAATGAAGGTGAGGTATGTGATTATTATGCATTTGTACCAAAAGGATACTATGCCAAGGGTGAGCCATTAGCTTTCTTCGAATCAATCGAAGAAAAAATTGCAGATATTTATAAAAAAGAGTTAGCTTTAAAAGGTGGATTAAAAGTAAGAATCGTGTTATATGCATATATGAAGAAAATTAAACCGGAAACTCCAGAACCTTTATATAAAACTTTTCCATTCAAGCATGAAACAATAGAAATTATTAGAGAAGATCGAATTAATGTAACAATAGAAAAAGGATATAACGAAATTATAGATCAAATAGAAGACGAGGCATTACAAGAATCTGGATGGTCATTCGTCCGAGCAGAAGAGGTATTTCTTGAAATAAGCGCATTCAGACCATTACAAGGTAGTAGTTATCTACCTTTACCAGAAGCTTTAGATAAGCCACAACTAGGAATAATTAATCCACAAAATAGGGATGATAATGAGTGTTTTAAATGGTGTATAAGTGCATATCACACAAGAGAGGAAGCTATAAAAGCTAATAGAAAGCCACCACATCTTAATGAAATCCGGAGACTTAGACGAAATGCAAATATCCCTTAAACTGTATTCCAGGCAAATTTGCCTGGAAAATTTAATTGTATTTAGTATTTTTTAAATAAAATTATAG